TAAGTGTATCTTATCTTATCTTATGACCTTTGACCTTATCTTTTGACCTGTCGCCACATTTTGAAATGTGTTACCAAGCCAAAAATGATTCTTGGACCACCCTAAACCAATTTCTGAAGTCAAATTGTCTGGACCTCAACGTGCATACAAAACCTGGTCTGGCTACTAGGGTAGAATGGGTAGAAATAGTGTCTAACGATAGGAAAGTTTCGCCACCGCAGCCTATTCATTTTTTTTGGTTTTTTTTTGTTTAAGTAATGAAATGTTTGTGTACATAGTTCGGGTGCTTAAATTAAACATACATTGAAATTCGAATTGCACGTAGCTTTATTAAAAATATTTTTGTTTATGTACCCGGTTTTGTCAACAAAAACTAAGCGCCAGCGGATTCGCCCCCAGAACCCCCACTGGGGCTCCGTCCCTCCGGACACCAATGGGGGCTCTGGTGGCCTCTGGCCCGCGTTTCAAATCACGCATTTCAAATCTTTCAGGTTGGTAACTATGTTGAATCAATTGTCATTAAACAGATATTAAATATGATTTTTAACAATGTTTTAATTATTACTCATCTTGTGATCCATCACTATACTTTTCAATAATATTCAATAATTAATGAGGTGTATATTGTCGATAATAATACGTAAATTTATAATTATACATTTGGTTAGTCAGACACACGTTTTAATTAATGTTAAAGAACAGATTATTAAGGAAGCAAAAGTGGAATTATATGCATCCCTAAATAAACTATGTATGTACACACATTTTACTTTTTGGTCTCTGTTTGTAATTGCGGATTAGTCAATTTGGTGTCAAACTACTCAGAAATGTCATTGACAGAAAACAATTTATTCAATGATAAAATATTCAAAGATAAATAAAAAGCCATGAATTACACTTATTATTTTTTTTCCATTTAAATGTTAAAAAACAGCAACAACATAATCAATAAATCAACATAAATCATGCATTTATTAATACTAAAATAATTTACTTTGGAAACTGAGACCATTTTAGATACTATTTCTGTACATACTAAATTTTGTTTTTCATATTACTGTAAACCTAATGGGTTTTGATAAATTTACTCTGCACTTCGGAATTTCCAATAAAAAAAAGAAAATTAATTAAAAAGACCATAGATTAAAAATAAGTAAGGCATAACATATTTTTAATCTATGTTAAAGCATAACTATTTTTACATAATGAAATTTAAATAGTAAATCAAATTATTATTTGTGGCTTTTATTTTTTAAATCAATTAAGAACATAATCTCAAAACAAAATTTAATAATATGAAAGATCGACGTTTCGGGTCCATCATGGAACCATTCTCAAGATCAAGTAAATTGAAAAAACTAAAAACAAAAATGCCAAGCAGTGACAGGAAGTAAGTAATTAATTTACATATCAATAGGGCCTACTCTGTGGAGCTACAATGGAGCTAGGCAATAATTAGCCCTTCTTAGCAGATTAACTAGATAAACAATCAGTTTGTTTGTTAAGTGTAGGTTTCAGTTCTTTGATCCAAAGCATTTCTTTAATTAAGCAATCAATAAATACATTTGTTGATTTCGTTAGACAAACTTGGATTTGCACTTAGATAAAACCTTGAAATAATTAACAGTTTCAGTAGCACTAATATAATGATCTTTTAAATGTTGTCCTATGTTACATTTACTGTGCATAATCATTTCATATTTAAAATAGAATTATTTAATCAATCAGTAACTTGTGTTTTTTTTAATGAAATTAACGATTTTCTTTAAAAAGATGGTACCCAAGGCGAGACTTTTTTTTATACCTTGTTTGACAAATTCGCTGACTATTGTACATTTTACTGTACTGTTTTTCCGTTTTAAAATGTTTGTGCTCGTTAGCAATTTAGATTTATTGTTGATGTTATCCATGACAGTAATACGTACCGCGAAATGCCAAGCCTCTGAAAGTCCCCATAGTTGGTATTCGCCACGTTATTGGACATTTTTATTTCAAATTTCGCGAAAATGGTTTATAACATTCCCTGCAAGTTCGCCGTTCAAAACTGGTGCCGAATCAATGTTTTAGGGCCTCCCATCAGAGCCATTAATAATAATAATATTAATAATTGGCCGCAAATATAGTAATAACATCTAATAATATTAATAATTTAAAAAAATACTTAGACCTACTCCCAGAGCTACTCATAGGAGATAAAAACTAATTTATTTTAGTTCTCAAATATGCATATTCTTTATGTTGATTTATTAATTAAATTTTTGCTACAAGGTATTTTACAACATTTATTTATTTTTTTTTTCTTTAATTTTATAATTGAAGGCCATTTTTTATTTCTTGATTCAATTCTTGCTTATACAGTATTTAAATATTTGAAGATTAAAAATAAAATATATCATTTCTATTACAGAATTTTTCATTGGGGCCATTTTTACCTACCTGTCATATTGGGCCATTTTTACCGGGGCCATTTTTTCCGGGGCCATTTTTTCCGGGGCCATTTTTTCTGTGGCCATTTTTTTCCGGGGCCATTCTTACCTACATTCGTAACAAAGGTAACTACGTAGGTGAGACGGGGTGTAAACTCCCAAGGATTAATAATCACAAAAAGTCTATCAGGGATAACCTCAAAGGTTTTCCTGTATGTGAACATTTTAATTCTACAGGCCATTCCATCAAAGATTTAAGGTTTATCATTATATGGTCCAATTACAGATACCTTATTAAGGAAAGACGATGTGCTGAAATACGTTGGATCCTGCACCTCAAATCGCATGTAAAGGGACTGAATAAAGACCTTGGCTTTGTCAGCGAATACTCATTTGTACATCCATCTTAACTAGTCTTACAGCACATCTAAATTGATTTATGTCCCACGAAACATATTTCTGGTGTATAATTCCATTATGTGCTCCCTTTATTTACCATTATTTACTATTGGCATTATCATTTCTATTATTATGTTGAAATAGCCGCCATTTTTATTGCTATGCTTACAGGACAGTTATATATATACCGTATATTTATATGTCACACAAGACTATTCCTGGTATATTATATTTTATTAAGAGCTCATTTTAATTATACTGTTTTAATTACTATATTACATACACTAGTAAAATATAGCCGTCGTAATTATGATGCATCTTTCATTAGTGCTCTTTTTATTTACCATTATTTACTATTTGCATTTTATATTTTTTATTACTGTGTATTATAATCAACTACTGTATTCCTGTAGTCTTTGTCAACGTCTGACATAATTTTTTTGACATAGTTTTATACTGTCTCTTATACACATCTAGATGTGTATAAGAGACAGTCATTAGGCCTACTAATTATTAGGCCTATTAAACAAAACTCAAAGCTTGCAAAAATATTAAAACCAACAGAACCACAATATTACATTTCTGTATTTAAAAAGACCTGGCCTGTGGTTTATGGATTGAAGATTAATCACGCTATTGCCTATGTTATATAATTATAGTATAGGCATATTAGGCCTACATCTATATTACGTGTACTGATGCATTGACGTAGGCCTATGAATAATATTCATTTTGAGTGATCCCAGGAAAAAATTGTATTGGCTAGCAAGAACAAGCTTTAAAACATTAACAATGTGTTCAAAAGCGGCCCCCACGGCTCCCCATGGCTACGTATGTGGTGGATTCGATAATGGACATGAAAATATTGGCATAATCGGGGGCCATTTTTGTCCCCCATGGGGGGATATATATATATATATATATATATATATATATATATATATATTTCATTTGTGTTCCACGTGTGTTCCGACAGAATAATAGAAAATAATGAAACAAC